TGCACAGCAAAGGAAACAGTCAACAAAACAAAGAGGCAACCCACAGAATGGGAGAAGATATTTGCAAATGACACTACAGATAAAGGACTGGTATCCAAGATCTATAAAGAACCTCTCAAACTCAACACCCAAAAAACAAATAATCAGGTCAAAAAATGGGCAGAAGACATGAACAGACACTTCTCCAAAGACGACATACAAATGGCTAACAGACACATGAAAAAATGTTCATCATTAGCCATCAGGGAAATTCAAGTCAAAGCCACACTGAGATACCACCTTACACCAGTTAGAACGGCAAAAATTGACAAGGCAAGAAACAACAAATGTTGGAGAGGTTGTGGAGAAAGGGGAACCCTCTTACACTGTTGGTGGGAATGCAAGTTGGTACACCCACTTTGGAAAACAGTGTGGAGGTGTCTCAGAAAATTAAAAATAGAGCTACCCTATGACCCAGCAATTGCACTGCTGGGTATTTACCCCAAAGACACAGATGTAGTGAAAAGAAGGGCCATATGCACCCCAATGTTCATAGCAGCAAGGTCTGCAATAGCCAAACTGTGGAAAGAGCCGAGATACCCTTCAACAGATGAATAGATAAAGAAGATGTGGTCCATATATATACAATATAATAGTACTCAGCCATCAGAAAGGATGAATACCCAACATCTGCATCAACATGGGTGGAACTGGAGGAGATTATGCTAAGTGAAATAAGTCAAGTGGAGAAAGTCAATTATCATATGGTTTCACTTATCTGTGGAACATAAGGAATAGCATGGAGGACATTAGGAGAAGGAAGGGAAAAATGAAGGGGGCGGAAATCAGAGGGAGAGATGAACCATGAGAGACTATGGACTCTGAGAAACAAACTGAGGGTGTTAGAGGGGCGGGTAGAGATGGGTTAGCCCGGTGATGGGTATTAAGGAGGGCTGTGATGGGTATTAAGGAGGGCACGTACTGCATGGAGCACTGGGTGTTATACGAAAACAATGAAGCGTGGATCACTACATCAAAAACTAATGATGTATTGTGTAGCGACTAACATAACATAATAAAATACAATTTAAAAAAAAAAGGATGATGTAAACCTAAAGAGTGGAAAACCAGGAAGTGGAGAGAGCCAGAGAATGAAATCCATAAATTAACAAATGAAAAGAGCAGGACTAATTGGATTCTAATGATACTGTTTGTGGTCCTGGATTTAGTTGTTTGAATTCCTAAACTTTTCTCATATTTATATAATCACGTTTAAATTGTGTTTTCATTACTTACAACTGAAAGAATTCTGACTGATAAAATGATTTCTAACTCTTTAATATCCAAAATACTCTTCTAGATCTCTAAGTGATACGTTTTAAGTATTTAGACTGACTTAAGGTATGGAATCAGAATGCTCTGATATTTGCATTGCATCAGAGGACAGCTAATGTTTAATTATTTAATTCATTGTTCATTCATTTTTTCATCCAACATTTATTACTTTTCTACTATGCATTAGATCCAATAAACAGCACAACATTAGGCCCTGAGTATACAAAGACGAAGCACAGTTCCTAATCGCAATGAACTCATAATTTCTTAAGGATGAGGACACTTTAAAATAAAAATTAGTAAATAAGAGTTGTAATAGAAGTAGAAGCAGAAGGAAAGTATAATGGGAACTTACATGAAAGAGCAAAATCTTTTCTGGGAGGGTCAGAAATTTTTTTTTCAAAGATTTTATTTATTTATTTGACAGATAGATACATAGAGAGGAAACACAAGCAGGGGGAGTGGGAGAGGGAGAAGCAGGCTTCCCACAGAGCAGGGAGCCTGATGCAGGGCTCGATCTCAGGACCCTGGGATCATGACCGGAGCTGAAGGCAGACGCTTAACGACTGAGCCACCCAGGTGCCCCAAGGGTCAGAAATTTTTTAATGTTATGCTTAGTTATGATAGGCTAATAAAAACTTATAGCATAAAATAAGCAGACACCACACAATTATTAACAACTTCTGGGGCTCAAAATATATTGACAAATATACAATTTTAGATTATTGTATATGTGTAAGAAACTGGCTCAGCTCCATATCCAGGGTGTAACTAGCAGGGGGCTGAGTGATCAAAGAAAACTAGGTTCCCCTATTCTCTCATTGCAGCTATTTACTCTGCACAAGTGGTACCACTGTCCAAGAAAAAAAAATGACTCTCAGGAAACAGATAAACTCTTTTTTTCCTTTCTCTTCCAAGACCAATTTACAAACTTAAAAAGGTTATAAAAGCTGAGTTAAAAAAAAAAAAAGAACTAGTTATATGCTCTTTATAAGAAACACACATAAAACAAAAATACTGGGAGATTTAAAGTCCAAAAAGTAGAAAAAGATATTCAAGAGATTCACCAGCCCCAAAATAGCTGAAATAATCATATTAATGTAAGATATAACAGACTTTAAGGTAAAACAGATTATTAGAGTTAAGAGAGTCACTAAATAATGTGTTCATCAGGAAGAAATTAAAAACTCTCAATTTTTAGGCAACTAATAAATTCCAAATACATGAAGTAAAAACTAATAGATAAATAAAGATAAATTGAGAAATCTAAAATTAGAAAGGGGAATTTTAATACATCTTTCAGAAATTAGTAGATCTAGTGGATAAAAACCAGTAGAAATAGAGAAGACTGAAATAGCAAAATTATTTGATCTAATGGCCATATGTAGAACAGTGAATCCCCAAGTTGGAGTTTACAAATTCTTTACAAGGACATGTGGCAGATTTGTGAAAATGAACCTCAAGAAAGAAAGAAGGCCATAAATGTCTACCAACAGTCATATTGATTAGACAATTATATCTACATAGTGGGTTACTATGCAGTAAAAATAAATAAGCTGTAATTACATACATCAACCTAGAGCACAGGGAAAAGATAAGACTGAGTGGCAGGAGCAAATCACTGAAGATTTTATGGAGTATGATTCCATTTATATGAATTTCCAAAACAAGCAAAACAACGAATATTGTGAGAGTGTATACACAGATAGTAAAAGTATGGCAAAAACAAGAGAGTGGTTAGCTATAAATGCAAGAAGGGAAGAGACAGACGTGATTAGTGAGGGATACTCAAGAAGCTTATAATGGTCTATTTCTTAATGTTAATACAGTTTGTTTTATTATCATTGTTTAAACTGTGTGCATGTTTCATATTTGTCATGTTAAATACACAAATTCTTTTTTTTTAATTGGAAATATATAGAATCTGAAGTTGAATCTGGACTTGATCCAGCTCTGAACATTCCTAGGGCCATAA